ACCGATTTAAAAATCAAAAGTTGTAGTCATTTTCAGTGAAACAGCAAGGACCAAAACTAATTGAATGCATCAATCAATCCCGATTTATGTCATATACTAACATACCAAATCTCGTATCTATTTTATCTGAAAAAAAAATAAGATAAAAGCATCCGGTACAGTATTAAATTATAAGTAACCTTATTAGTTATCTTTCTTTTTATGATTATTATGGTCGATTTTCTGCAAAGTAATTATACAGGGTTGTTCACCACATACGACACGTAGTATTGTAGCTAAACGATTAGAGTTTCACAAATTGTAAGTTTTAGGCTCGTTGAAGGACTAGGTACAATTTAAAAATAATGTTGCAAGATACAGAGTGTCCCAAATAAGTAAAAAATATTATAGTTGTATTTTTTAAATGGAACACCCTGTATATTATTCTATTTTTAGATTCTACGGTTGAAATAAAGGTAAATTTGATTAACACTTAAACCTTACCGTTTTTGAAATATTTTCAATTTTGTGAATTTGCAGTAAAAAATTTAAGGCTTTATTTCTACAAGGGTATTAAAGGTAAATATTTACTGAAGATTATTTATTGATCAGATATTGTGTTGCAATAATAAAAATTATACTACCTTATACAGAGTGTCCAAAAATTTATATTAAATAATTACTAGCTTTAAACAGCAATAACTTGTTTAATTTAAATGGAACACCCTGTATATTTTACGAGAATCAGATGGATAATTTAATTGTCTATCAAATTATATTATACCATTTTTTACCTATCTCTTCAAGTCTTCGTAGAAAATACATTTTTTTATAATTTAGACCTCATTTATCACTATACCCATGGAATATTGACATTTTAGATTTTTCTAAAGAAATGTAACAGGTGGTAAAAAATAATAATATTGCAAGCCCATTTGTTTACAAAAAGAAAAATATTTAAATCTTTGTAAAAGAGTATACCAATTGTTACTATTTATTAACATACCATTATTTCCGCCCAAAAATTAGTTAATTGCATACTTAATTGTTTTAATTAACAAATTATTCTAAATAAATGTGGATTTTACTCAGAAATCAATACAATAATAAGTTATGAAAATGAACGTCTCTGTTGTTATAAATATGCATTTGTCAAAAAATGAAAATAAAATTTATAAAGTGTTACTTTTTGCCACACTGTCTAATAGACATACAAAATTCAGTTGTTTAGTATTTGGAGCAATTATTATTAATCAACGTAAACGGTCAATTGATGTAGTTTGAATACCGGGATCATATTAATTATTGGTCCTCTTCAACAAAAAATATTTTAACAATTTTTTTATATTTTAATGAAATAAGCAAATCATATCGACAATATTAGTATCTGTATTTTTTGAAAATTTGTCAAATCTTTAAAAAATAATTTAAAATGCCAATATTCCATGGGTATAGTGATAAATGAGGTAAATTACAAGAAAATGCATTTTCTACGAAAACTTGAAGAGATCGGTAAAAAATGATATAATACAATTTGATAGACAATTAAATTGTGCATCTGATTCTTGTAAAATATACAGGGTGTCTTATTTAAATTAAACAACTTATTGCCGTTTATAGCTGGTAATTATTAAATATAAATTTTTAGACACTCTGTATAAAATAGTAGTTTTGTTATTATTGAAAAGCAATATATGATCAATAAATAAACTTCAGTAAATATTTAGCATTAAAAACTTCGATATTCCATTGGAGAAATGAAGCCTTAAAATTTTTAATGCATTTTCATAAAATTGAAAATATCTCAAAAACGGTAAGGTTTAAGTGTGATAAACCTTAATGAAATTTACTTTTATTTCAACCGTAGAATCTAAAAATAGAATAATATACAGGGTGTTCTATTTAAAAAAATACAACTATAATAATTTTTACTTATTTGGGCCACTCTGTATCTTGTAAAAATATTTTTAAATTGTACCTCTAATAGTCCTTCAACGAACCCAAAACTTACAATTTATAAAAATTTAAAAGTTTAGCTACAATACTCCGTGTCGTATGTGGTGAACAACCCTGTATTATGACTTCTTGTCAAATAAATCGCGTGCTTTAATATCCATTATACAGAATATTTCCACTTGGTTTAAATTTTTTCTTAGGTTCTACCGATATAATCATCTGATGTTATTTTTTTATTAAATATCATCACCATCATCATTATCATTTTCAGCTTATTCAACCATTTCCAATTATGGTGTAGCCTCCCTCACATATTTAGATACTCTCATGATACTCTGTTTGTAGTTGGGCTCATTGTTGTGTATTGTTGGCTATGTGGGCTCAAGTTATCCCTGCTAATTTCCTAATATTATGGTTAGGTCTCAGGTTTGGTCTTCCTTTAGGTCTCTTGATTCCTCATGCTTTAATTTTTGTGGTGGCCCACTTGAGGGAATTATGTCGGTGACATTTATTATCTGGGCCTTTTGTCGTATCCCACTCTATCCTTTTGCGGTCTCTTTTGGTTATTCCCAGCATATTTCGTATTTCGTTCCACTGAGCGTTGTGCGACCTGCAGTTTCCTTATAATGTCCCTTTTAAGTGTTCAGGTTTCCCATGCATAGGTCATGACTGGTAGCACACATTGTTCGAATGTTTACTTCTTTAGATAAAGTGGCATTCTGGATTTGAATATGAGTTTCTTCCATAAGTTCTTTTCCAACTCATCTATGCTAACTTAAGAATGTATTTTCTGTCTACCAGTTCGTTGTACATTACTTTGTTATTGTTAAATTTATTTTGAGACCTACTTTATTGCTGGCTGTATTTAGTTTGGATATTAGGTTTGTTAATTTGTGCTTGTAGTTTTTAGGACTATTGGCAATTAAGGACTATGTCTTCAGCGTCAGTCATTAAATATATATCATCCATATATTGTTTGAAATTCATCCTCCAAGAATTCATATCTCCAAGCGAGACATTCGCGATTTATCTCGGGAGGCACACCAAAACTCATTACGTTCTCCATTCGAAAAAGGACAATGGAGAACAAATAGCTTTTTCATGAAGAAACACTGAGCAAAGAGATCCAGTCCTTTACGAAATATATCGAAGACGGAACAGGGTCATCATAACAATACCTTTAGGCAGAGCAGACAGTGTTTGCACAGGGACGGTGTTTACACAGCAGAAAGAACGGAGCCCTACATCAGTGTAGGTGGCACTGGTGTTTACTTATGGGTCTCTTTTTCGTGAATAAAATTTAAAACGAAGAATGAAAGGTCGACAAATGGATTTTCGAAAAGAGATGATTGAAATTGGACAGTACGGGATGTATTTGTCGAATGTGCCGATGTGTTATTTACCTGGAAATAAAAGTAGAGGAATAGTAGTTTCAAAAAAAATCATAAATTTAAATGTTGATTATTTTGACCAAAATACATTACGTGCATTAGATTTACACAATACTTAGGTTGTGTGCATTTTCCATAAGATAATTTGAAAGTGTTTAAAGTTATTTAATTGGTTTTTGTCATGAAAAAAAACCTGTGTCTACGTAACATGCTGTCAATTTGAAATACCATCAATCTTAGGATTATGTAAAGTGACCAGAAAACAAGCCAAAAATAAAATAATATACAGGTTTAACCGTATATTATTCTAGCTTTATAATTTTATAATGTCTTTTTAATTTTTATTAAAAAACGATAATTCTATCACTCGGTCGGATAGCCTGGCAGCTGTGGCCATTAAACTAAAATACCACTACATCTATATCACTGACTGCTACAAATCAACAATTTGTTTTGTGTGGTCTGCGATCTGTTTTTGTTTAAATGTTTTGTTCATTATTCATGTTGGGGATTTATTTTTAAATGAATGTTAATCGTTAGGAAAACTCATATAATATGTATTTCTTTCGCATAATCAAAACTGTCATTCTAAATTTTTCATAACCAACTGGTCACTCTAAATCGATATCCTTTTTAGACAGATGTATGTCACTTGTCTTGTCATTATTCAATTCATTATTCGAATTCTCAGAATGTTATTAACAAAAGTTTCATCTTAAAATAAAATTTTAATCAATCACAATTGTTTATTTCCACAGTTTACCTGATTAATAATACAGAAATAAAGGTTCAATTACAAACAACTCATTATTTATAGTGATTTGCAGTAATTTTATTAAATTATATGAATATTCTCGTTAATTATTGGTTTGAAATAAATATGAGAGTGTCCTTCAATGAAAATGCGAGTTACTAACTCTAAATTCTAATTCCGAGCTGGCAAATAAGCTAGATGTTTTACCTAGGCCGTTATTTAGATTAGAAGCTACAACCTATCGATGAAAATATGCATAAAAATGTACTTCCTAGCACACAAGGTTGGTAAAATATCAAGTTTATTATAGTGTTTTTCTTAGCCGCGCATGGCACAAATCGTTAGCGAGTGTCACGGCCTTGAATTTTTACTCCCAACACGCGTTAATAAGTTTCACTTCAACAAGTCATCCCGAACCACTCACACTTTTTTGAGCCACCCTATAGAAGTTAAAATATTTCCCTGAAATACATCCTCGTACATACTTTAGGTTTGCACTTAAACAAGATTCTCAATTTTTTTATTCTAGGGACTACAGATGCCCGACGCACTATTGCCAGACCCTGTACCTATATCGGATACTTTTTGGGATACGAATTCTTTTATAAGGTTGCGCATCCCCTTTTTTCCTCCAATCAATGATTTAACGCTTAGAGATAATTGCTGAGAGCGAAAAAATGACAAAAGAAGAAAAAAGCAAAATTGATTTTTACAATGTTTTTGAACAAAATGGAATTTTACAATGTCCTTTTTTATACTGTATTATTAACATAGTTTTTTATTCTAATAAACTTAAAAACTTATTATATTTTTTTAAAATACCAATTTTCTCTCGAATTCTATTTTCGGACCCTTGGAGATTCGAGTTCCACTGCATAAATTAATATATATCGTTGAACGCCATTTCTTTTTTGTTTCAGTCCTCCAGTTCCCCTCGAAGAGTAGCCGTTCCCGTTCTAGTCAAAGACGGCAAACCGTGTTCGGGTAGCAGTAACCAAACAACCACCTCCACTGGGGGAGGCCAGACAACTTCCGACACGTCCAGGTCACAACAGTCCTCCGCTTGTCAGTCCAGCCAGGCGGCAGCTCAGGCGCAATGCATGGCCAACGGTGGCCTGGCTATGGCCTACGGCAGGCAACAGGCCAACTACCAGCAACAATGTGGCGCCTATTTGCCGCTTCAGGCCCGGGCCTGGTAGTGTCACGAGCAATACGGGCTCGTCTACAGTAGCGACATGTGATATAGTTTCGATTAAGAATGTTCGGTTCAGATCACAACTTATTTAGTAGCCAGCTAGCCAATTTTACGTTTAGTTTTTAGTTATTTACAAATAAACTTTTAGTCACGCGATTAAGCTTGAACGGCACAGCGGTGCCCACTTTTACATATTCTCTTTTAATCAACATATTTTAGGAAACAAAGAAATTAATTAATTATAAATATATATTCAGTTATTATTTGCATCTACAAAACTCACCTCCTTAACAGCACTTAAGGGACATAAAGGGCCATTACTACCGCTTTCCCGTTCATAATATTCTAATAAGGTGGCAATGAGTTTTTTTTGCAACGGCTATTAAGCTATTTTGTACACTTCGCGGTAAAAGAGGCTCTAAAAAGAACAATGTTACAATGTTGACTGCAAGGTCTGCTAGTAAAAAATTTTAAGCTTAAAGTATCACAAGACAATTCATTTAAATCAAAAACTCGTAACAAAAAAACTAAAGTGCCAAAACGAATGGCAATGTCAGGAACTTGACATTTTTTAGAGCAGATCTATCACTTGAATCTCCAGAGGGAAATTTAAATTTCATTTAGTCAGCTCGGCGCCGAATATGTCCATGGTTGGCAAAAATGAAATAAATTAATTATAAATATATACACAGTTAATATTTACATCAACAAAACTCACCTCCTTAACAGCACTAAAAGGTCATAAAGGGCCATTACCACCACTTTTCCGTTCAAAATATTCTAATAAGGTTGCGATAAGTTTTTTGCAACTGCTATTAAGCTTCTTATTTTCTGTCTTGTACACTTCGCACTAAAAGAGGATCTAAAAAGAAAAATGTTAGAATGTTGACTGCAAGGCCTGCTAGTAAAAAAATGTAAGCTTAAAGTATTACAACACAATTCATTTTAACCAAAAACTCGTAATAGAAAACTAAAATGTCAAAACGAATGACAATGTCAGGAAATAAATAAATAAATGTGGCAACTTCAGATTTTTTACAGCAGAGCTATCACTTGAATCCCCAGCGGGAAATTTAAATTTCAGTTAGACAGCTCGGCACCGAATATGTCCATGGTTGGCAAAAATGAATTTAAAAACCGAGCCCTTTATTACGCAACTAGAAGTTTAATTGGTATCGCTTATATTTTAGACAGTTTACACATGCGATTAATCAGAACACCAGCCTAAATCATTTTTAATAGTGATGAGCAAATGTAAGACCATAACAGCAAGACTCCCTTGGTCTTGCATTGAATAAGTAGTCATAGTCATAGTCCAGTATTGGTCTTGATCTTGCAGCGATACTCTTGCAAGTCTTGCATTTTTTAATAGATTTGTTTACTAGGTGCACTTTCTACATAGAAAATCGAGCGTAACAATAGTTTCTCGATATACCTATAATCACTTACAAGGTTTACAAAATGAGAAAAATATTTTTATATTATTTGGAACGTTTAAAATTGTTTAAAAAAAATATTTGTGACATTTGAAAAAAATATTATGTTCTATTCGGAGTAAAGCTGACTTTTTGTGTCTCGCCTGTAAGGTCAATAATAATAATATTTTTCTGACTCAAATTTTTATGTAATTGCCAGGAAAACACTATTTATTATAAATTAAAACAATAATTTTGAACAAATAAGTAATTTCTTATATCACATAAACGTGAAAAAAAATCAAGATTGCAAAAGTCTTCAATGCATAGTCTCGGTCTTGGTTTTGCGAAAGTCTTGCACTGGTTGGTCTTGGTCTTACGCAAAATCAGTCTTGGTTATCACTCGTTTTTAATCGAAGTCTCAGTGGATCTTAGTATCCGGCTTTTTAAACATATAACATAAGAAAGCGAATATTTAGATAGGATGGCAAATTTCAATCAAAAATATTTTAAGTTGGCCGGCTGGTACTGAATAGGATGTGATTAAGATGAAAGAATTGTTCGGTGTTTATTTCTTCTTAGAATTTTTTTTGGACGGCCCGTATAACGTTAGAAATTAATTTGCGAAATATGAAATTTACATTTTTTGCCATAAAATATCACAAAAATTTGTTAGCTCATATTTAATGTAGAACTAAACTTTCTAGCAAAGTTAAAAAATTAATGGTTCTCCAAAATAATTTAAAGAAACAAAATATCTAACATTATCAAGACTCTAACTTTTTTTCTATAAAGGAATATTAAAATGTTTAATACTGCCTGTTTTTGTGGTTACTATATTGAATTTAGTACTTGAATTTCTTTCAATTTTACTAGTAATAAATTTTGAATATAAGCGAATAAAAGTAAAATAGGAATAAACAAAAGACAATCAGGAAGACTTTATTATTAACTTATATTTTTTAGTTATTATTTTAGACAATTATTGGAAATATTCTACAAATTAATGAGAAAATTAATGTTGCTTAAAAATTAATTGCTGACAAAAATTAATATTCACGATTTAAAAGCAACAAATAACAATTTTTTTAAAAACTACTTTTTAAGATTAACTTATGGCAAAAATATATATTTCATATTTTGGTTTTATTTTATTGTACATTGACTTATTCAAAATTATTAATTATTTATTTGATATGGAATGTTAGATATTGTGTATATTTTGTTAACATAACCACTTGATTGCGTGATGTAAAAATAATGTTTAGGCTTGCAATATGAAATGATAATTTAACAGAAAAAAAAAGAAATTTCAGTATAAATACATTTTAACTGGGATTAGTGGAATCTGAAACATTAGAAACCATAATATTTAAAATCAATACCATGTTTTCGGAAAACTATCTTCGAAAATATGTTTTTTGAAAACAAGAATTGGGAATTCATTTTTGGTATAACAATTAGTGGTACAGTATTATTACAGCTTATTAGTAACCAGCCTGCCGACTAGATGTCAGATTATTTTTTATTTTATTATTAATTTATAAAAACGAACAGAAAAACAAGTACTAGCTGGTATTGAATAAGTTGATGTATCAGATAAAGCTGATGATACTGCATTTGTTTTAAAAGAATATTAACTAAAATAAAAAAATGCATTTTTTATATTAATTTTCGTTTGTTTTTTCGATTGTGTGATAAGAATAGAACACATATTTCAAAAATTGAAAACATATCTATTATAATAAATGCACTTAATTGCTGGATCTCTTTCCTAAGACAATATTACACAATTCGTCTTCAATATCACGAAGTGGCGGCCAACCCAACTCATTTTTTGATATTTTTCAGGACAGCCGTTGAAAGTTTTTTCCGACTTTTGTTTCAATACTAATCAATATATTATATTGATGCCACTGTGTTTCTTTGTTGTTAACGAAACGCAGTGTCTACAATTTATTTTGGTTGGTATTGAGACAAAAGTAGTAAGAAGCTTTAAACCGCTCTCCCGAAAAATATCAAGAAATGAGTTACACCACTTCGTGATATAGACGACGAATTTATTTAAATATGTTTTTTAATAGGAAAATACTTAATTTCATACTATCATAAAACAAATCTCTAAATATCATATTAATTAGGCAGAACTATTACTGATGAATACAGGGTATACAAATATATATTTGATTTACAATGTTATTGTTGTCACAAATTTATTTGCTAAATAATAAGATTACTTTAAACAATTGCTTAAAATACTTATTTATTCTAAATGCTGTATAAAAATAAGGAGCACTGATGCATTTTGTTAAGGTGACTTATGTACATGCAATAATTATTTTTTAATAAAGTTTAATTTATACTTCGAAATTTTACAGTAGCTATAAATATTAATTCATAAAATTTTATGTGCAATTTTGCTGTTTAAAAATTGTATAGCTTATAATTTTTTTCAACTTCCAAATTTGCTAATTAAAACTAAAACGACGAGAGAAACGTAATTAATTTGAGAACTGCAAAACTAAAACTAATAAAAACAAATTGTGCAATTGATAACGCAGTAATACGTTTTATTAAATAAATATTATTTAAGGTTAACAAAACTTAATTGTATTATATTTTAGTCAATACATAAAAAAATGTAATAATTTAGAAGCAACAAAAATTAGATTTTTGATTATTAGTATTATATTGGAAATACCAAAATGATTTAAATGAAATCTGAAAAATTACTAAAATAGGTACTAATGAAAGATAAATTTTAATATATCCATTTATAAAGACTATCATTTCGTATTAAATAAGTCCATAAAGGCCAGATCTCTTATTTGTATTATAGTTTTTTATAAAAAAATATGGAAATTTAGCCTACTTTAGTAATTTAATGAATTTAATACTTAATTAATAATATGTAGAAAACTGCTCTTACGTAGATGTACATATATGATTGTTTAATTTATGTAAACATTATGTTTTATGTGTAAATATAGAATATAGACTTTCTTAAGCTCTAGATCAGAACTTGTAAAAATGTTGAAAAATAACAGATAAATGTACAGTAATTTGTTAGATTAATATCAAAATATCGCACTATGATGTCGTGTAACAGTGTTTATAAGTGACAGAATTATAAAAAAAAATGAGAAATATACGAATCATTGTAATACCATCGTTTCATTTCATTTCCTTTATGCAGTTGACACACAGTTCCGGCGTGGTTCCGGTATAACCGGAAATAAGGGATATAATAAGTGTTGATAAGTAAAGAGACTATAGATGTATAATTATCGATAATGGATGTGGATGTACATAAAGTTTTTTTACTAAATAAAAGTTTGTCTATAGAGCACAGGATAACAATTTGTAAAGTGGCAATGTAGATCATCTCTTAGACAAAAAATACTGTCATATTTCAAACTTTCAATAAGTGGATTAGCAAAGGAACCAAAATAAGCTAGTACCACACAAATATTTATCAGTACGAATCTACCTTGCATGGCATACCGTTAAAAAAATCGTTGCTTCCTCTTTGCAATATTCTAGCAAAATCTTAAATCGTGCATAACTAAGCAACCTTTTTAAAAACTACTATTTTTACTTTAATTTTCAAAAAAAGTATCATGAAAGTTTCAAATATATTCCAGATTACTAAACTTTTCAAATTTTCACCTGGTGTATAATGTCAAATGCTTGAGAATTTATTTTTGGGGCATGTTTTAAGAGAACAAACGAGAATGAAGGAATATAAATAGAACAAAAAGGAGCAAATGTCGACTTATAATAATTATAGCAACTTATAATTATTATTATAGCGTAGAGAAGTGCAAGGTTAG